ATAAAAAAGAAAATTAAAAATTAAAAATTAATATTAAAAATAAAACTCTTTTCAGAACTCAACATATAATAAGAAACAAATTATATTAAAAAATTATGAATTTGAATTTCAAAAATCAACCTAATCTTCAACTGTAAAGACCATAATTTAATGAAATTTAATGTTGATGGACAAAACAAATCATGTTAGGATCCAATATTAATCCATTAATGAATTTATTCAAATATTTTGTTTCTCTATTGTTCGAAGTTGTAAATTTAAAATAAATAAATAAGTTAATTAATTACTGAAAAATATTGTATAAAAGAAATGTTCTATCTTTTCCAAATAAACTTTTAATTTTTCCTACAATCATACAAAAAAAAAAACTTTTTTCTTTTTTTATATTTCCCCTAAATACAATATTATACGTGTTCTATTTGAAAATTTATTTTTTCAAAAATATATCCAATCAAATTATATAAATATAAAGGAAAAAATGCTTTTTTTCTCTTTTTATCTCTCTCCTAAATAAGATATTTTAAATTATAATTAAAATAAAATTATTTTAAAAATAAAATATAAAAATTTTCAATGTCTCCTTATATATATATATATTAAAAAATAAATTTTAAAAAGATAAAACTTAAAATTTTGAAATTCTTAATTATCTATGTGTATTTATTTAAAAAAATAATTTTTATAAATTATATTCAATCAGCTAAATAAAGTGTAATTTTTTAATTGACTATCACTAAGGCTACTTTAGGATATTCCGAATTTTATTAATTAGCTATGGATTGTTTGTAGTTTAATTATAACATTAACATTATTTTTCTTATTTTTGCACGAAGAAATGTTGACATCGCCCAAAAAAAAATTATTGTGCGAAAAAAAAAATATATAATATAAGAGTAAATTCGTGAATAATAAACAACAGTATGAACCTGCTGACTGTGATTTGAAGAAAAGCGAATAGTATGGATGATTTTTTGCTATATTAATATTTTTCACATAGTGCATAATCATTATGTTATCTAAACCTAATTGGAAAATTTTATATTAATTAAAATTTTAAGATTAATTATAAATTGAAAATATTTTAATTAATATAATAAGAATATTTAGAAATCGACTCTTTATTAATTTGTAGAAGATATTAGTTTTCTGTTTTGAAAAAAAAGTTTATATAATCAAATGTTTTAATTTTCTTAACATCCTCTTGAATTGTACCATCAAAAAAAAATTTTGTTGTACCAACAGAAATTGAAATTATAAAAAGAAATATGTACTCTTAAAAATATTTAGTATAATATTATAACCTTAACGTTACTTTTCTTATGTATTGCTATGTAGGTTATGATTACAACACATAATTACAATATAGGTTATAGTTAATCTCAATGTTTCAGCCCTTTCTTGTTTATACAGTTCTATGGATTATTTTTCTTACTTTGGAATTATAACTACGGATTGTTGCTTGAATTAACTATAAAATCAAAAAAAAAAACATTTTATACAACTATTAATTTAATCGGCAACTCTCATATATTCAAAATTACTTTAATTAAGAATTTCTTTTATACCAATAGAATTTTCATTAAAATATGAAATAATTTTCAAATAAAAAAATATATTAAGAAAATTTTTTAGCAATCAAATTATAGGATAATTTTATATTTAGATTAAACTTCCTCATAAAATTTAGATTCAAATAGGAAATTAACATAAACAATTAAAATTAAATTACTTTTATTTTTTCAATTAATAAAATTACTGATAAAATGTAATTTTCTAATTGACTATAACTAAAGTTGTTTTAGCACATTCTAAATTTTATTAAGGGCATTATAGAAAATCTCATTATTTCCCTCCTATTCCACGTTTTTATATAGTATAAATAGATATAGATATAGATATAGACTAATTTTCTCGAATATGCATTTATACTTGTCGATTTTTACACGTTTTAAGTAAATATAATTTGATTTTTATATTTATTTTATTAATTTTTATTATAATTTATAATATTACAAACAATTTATATTACCAAAAATCTAAGAGAATTCGTAAAATAGAAAATTAATGTTTTATGAAATAATAAAGTGAAAACTTCAACAATCGAAAAACTTGTTAACCAAATAACTTATTTATATTAATAAAATATTAGAACTAATAGTATAACTTGCAGCAAAAAAGATTAACCAGAGAAATTAAAATATAAATTTAAAATTTATTTTTAAAAAGAAAACAAGACAACAATTTGGAAAAAAAAAGCAGGACAAGAATTTTCGGAATATATTGTCTTTTTTTTTTTATTTTTAGTTTTCTGTTTCCAATCTGCGGTCCCTTATTCTTAAATTTTTGTGATTCAATATATTTTTTTAATATAATATATTAAGATTTCATATAATTATAAATTAATATAATTTTAATATAAAATAATTCCATTTCAGAAAAAATGTATAAAATAATTCAATATCCGTTTTGGATTCATCCGCGTGGCTCATGAAAAAATTTCTGCAAGCTTGCTGGTACGGCTTATTATGGGTCTTGGGCATATTAATCGCATTCAAATTATAATACCGGTCCAGTCCAAAACAACAGGTCATGACACTTATTTTTTTCTCAACTTTTACTTTAAGATCATCTTATTATAATTTTTTGCTAGAAATTTTTACAGTAAGGACAGCAGTGTAATTCAGACGGCATGAAATAGAATGAAATCTTTCTAATTCCATTACAAAATATTTTGAAATTTAAATTTATATTCTATTCCATTTCAAATTTTTTTGGAATTTAAAATTTTATTTCATACCATTTCTTTAAAATTCGGTTTGAAATTCGGTAGTTTTAAATTTCTTAATCATAAAAATAAATCTATATATTATGACATTTTTTAATATGTAAATTTTAAATAAGGAATAGTCATCATATTTTTATATACATGCTAAAAAGACATAATTAAATTTTAAAAATAATAAATTAATATAACATGTAACTAAAAATCAACAAATTTAATCTTAGATAGTACATATACTTCACCATTAATATTTAATAATTCAGTTTATAATAATTTAATAATTAATAATAATATTATCATTATTATTATTAATTAACAACTTAATAATTAATAATAATCCATCAAAAAGTAAATCCACAAAAAATAAATATTATCGATCTAAGCATACTAATTAGGGTTAGGGTTAAAATATTTTATTAAACTACATAATTTTAAAATTAAATAGAAGTTTTCTTAAAAAAATTATAAAAATTAAAAATATTTTATTATAATCTTTAATTTAATATTTTATTTTAAAATATATAATTACACACGAAAGAATAATAAAATAAAAATTCGGTATATGGATTGGAATATGAAATTTTATTGTTTGTTTTCATTCCATATTCCATATACTAATATCTTACAAAATACATTCCGTTTTAAATTTTGTATTTTAAAAATTTAATTCCAAATTCATATTTGGTTTGGAATTTCAATTTAAATTGGATATTCGGATTCAAGTTACACTCCTACGTATGGGTATGATTATAACAATAAAAGTTACAATTCTAAAAAATAATAATAATAAAAGTTACATTATTAATTTGATAATAAAATAAAAAAAAAAGTTTGAAAACTGATTATAAAATTAAAAAGATATTAAGATTTATCAGTTCAAAATAATAATTTTAATTCCAATTCAAATTATCCTATCATTTAAAACATCATTATATCCTCTCGACTTTTTAATAATTTAGATGATTTATAATATTATATTATAATAAAAAAAATATAAAGAATCAAATAATATATGTACAATCAGTATGAACATAATTCAATGCATGTTTTAAACAAAAACTAATTTATATATATATAAATAACATCGTGTCATTAGACGTGGTTTTATTAGACTTTTCAATTAGGTAATAAGAAAAAATGTGTTAAACGTATTATGAATACTAATAATGTATGGGGCAAGTGTTTGAATATTGTCCCTGAAAAATTCTGACATCACAGCAGCGAGTTGGCGCCAAAAGGCCAAGTAATAAAGTATTTGGATCTGTTGTAGGCAGGTTACACGTGCACATACAAACATCTTTCACTGAACTGAAAAGATGCCTTTCCTCTTCCATTAGTGACCGACTGTTATGGCTTCTTCTGGGTCCAAGTCCCTATGCACTCTCCCATCTGCCACAAATGCAGCAACCCACTTTTCGACCGTTCAAAATCGCCATCTTATTCTTGATTTTGAATAAGAGAATCTGTTTTCATTATTATATACATTATATATTTTATGCTCTGTTTTCATGCTCTAGAAAAATACACGAATGGACTAATGAAACACGAACGATGAAGCAACCGCGACTAAGATTAGAATAAAAGGGGTAATTAGAGAATCAAATGATTAAATAATTTGAAAAAGACAATGAAAATCGAGAAAAAAACTTTTGAAATGGAAAATTGAAAATAACATTACGAAGAAATGTCTAAATTGATTGAGATTATGTATTTGAAAGATTAAAGGCAAAATCGAGAGAGAAGCAACAACAATTATATATTTCAAGTAATAACGATAAGTTATATTTAATATTGTAGTATTAATTGGGCCATGTGTCGTAGTATTTTTTTGGCATTATAAATATTGTCGCGACTCGAAAATCTCTATATATTTCATCTATATTTGTCGACTGGTAAATGGAGCTCGTCCAATGATTCAAAGCATATAAAAATTTTTTATGTATTATATTAACTTTTTTTAAATTAGATTAAAAATAATTTATTCCATTTACAAAATTTATTTTAGTAATGATTTTTGCATTGATTGCAGAATGATAGAGTTGGGGTGCTGATCATAGTTTCTTCTATGTTTGTGAGAATGGCCATTTTTAAAAAATATATAAAAAAAAGTTATTTTTTTTATTTGAAAAAGAGAAGAAAAATAACAATTTGTTTACCCATATTAGACCAACTAGAGCAATGCCATTGCACCTAAAACCCCACAGCCCACACGTTGGTCTCATCTACTAAAAAACGGAAGAAACATGCATAATCATAAATCTTATTGCACTTTATAAAATATCATCAACATCAATCATCAATCATTTGTTTATACGGTCAGTTTCAATTATCATATATCAACAACATCAAACACAAAACCTATCAGTCACCACTTACCACCACAAATACATACTCATGATTTGCCTATCTGTACCCCCACAACGGCATCAGCAACCGTCCGTACAACAAACATATATCCAGGTGACAAAAGAAAAAAATTCACCCTTCAGTCTCCCTCTATCTCTGTCTAACCGTTAGTGTGACGATGATGATGATGATGAACACCCATCTGGGTCCACCTTCATTCTTCACTTTGTTTTAGTAAGCTTGAGCTCGTTTTCTTTTTTTCCTCTCTTCTTGCCTTTTATTCGGAATTTGGATCCTTCCTTCCATTAAAAAGCTGCTTTTAGAGGCTAATAAAGCCGCTGATCTTAGATTGGAATGTGTTTTTATTAAGTTATATAACCACATTTTAAAAATGGAACATTAATATGTCGTTTTTAAATGTTTATATTCTTATATAATGCTTTAGATCTTATAAATTCGTTGTTTTTGCTTTGTTTTTTTCCTGATTTTCATAAATTTCTGAAAAAAAACAAAAAATTGAAAATTTTCCAAAATTCTTGTTTTTTTAAATGTTTTAATTTCTGAAAAAGTCAAAAAAATGAAATTTGTCCAAAATTCTTGTTCTTTAAATGTTTTTAATGATCTTTGGTATATTTATTATTAATGAAAAATATTTGAAAAAAGAAATTGCTTATTTCTTAGTTTCAAGTTTGAATCTTGTTGCTTCCAGTTGCGGGTTACAGATTTTTTTTTAGGTTATTCTGTTGCATCCAAATTTTTATATTGAAGTGAAATTTAAACAAAATTCTTGTTCTTTTAATGTTTCATGATCTGGGTAATACAATACCATGGCTTTCTGTTTCTTTGATGAAAAAATTTGCAGATAAAGAATAGAGAAGCGTTTCTTTCTTAGATTAAAGTTTGAATCTTGCAGGTTATAAAAGCCATATAGTTGAAAAGCTAAGAGATGGCAGGTTTTAGTGTAGATTTGTCTAGAAATGGTAACCCAACTGAAATTGAAGAATGGGATTTCTCAAAGTTATTAGAAAGACCAAGGCCATTGAATATTGATAGGCAAAGATCACTTGATGAAAGATCTATCAATGACCTGTCAATTGGTGTTTCTCCTCGCTTAACAACAAGAATTGATAGCACTGCTAGGTTAGTAGACCATGTTGATTCTTCGTATTCCCCTGGTAGAAGGTCAGGGTTTAATTCTCCTAGGTCTGATGCTGGGTTTGAGACCCATCCTACTGTGGCTGAAGCTTGGGAAGCTTTAAGAAGATCATTGGTTTATTTTCGAGGTCAACCGGTTGGGACTATTGCTGCTTTGGACAATTCTGAAGAGAAACTTAATTATGATCAGGTTAGATTTTCCTATATTTTCTGTTTCCGTTACGTTATTTGAGATTTGTAAATTCTTTGTTAATTGTGTTTAGGAGAAAATAGTTCTTAATTTTGGGAAATTTAGTTTGTTTGAAAATTTTGTTTTTGTTTAATTGTATATTCTCCCATTAGTTTGCAAAGATTTTCTCAACATCCCATCTTGAAAGTAAAACTTATGATCCTACAATCTTGAGCATAATTCTATATGCTTAACGGATTTTCTGCTTTTTAAACTTTTTACTGCCTTTGCAGCGTTTATATCTTCAAGCAATAATGGTGTTTCAATGGACAGAATTCGCTTTAACAGATTTGTGTTGGTTTTTTGTTTGCCTAGGTGTTTGTGAGAGACTTTATCCCAAGTGCAATGGCATTTTTGATGAATGGAGAACCTGAAATAGTCAGGAATTTCATTTTGAAGACTCTTCGCCTTCAGTCGTGGGAGAAAAAGATTGACAGATTCCAATTAGGAGAAGGAGTAATGCCTGCTAGTTTTAAAGTACTCCATGATCCAGTGAGAAACAATGAGACTTTGATGGCAGATTTCGGAGAGAGTGCAATTGGAAGAGTTGCCCCTGTTGACTCTGGATTTTGGTGGATTATATTGCTCCGAGCATACACTAAGTCTACGGGCGATATCTCATTAGCTGAATTGCCAGAATGTCAGAAGGGTATGCGCCTAATTTTGAGTTTATGCCTTTCAGAGGGCTTTGACACATTCCCAACTCTTCTTTGTGCTGATGGATGCTGCATGATTGATCGTAGGATGGTAAGTTTCTGGCAGTTAGTGTTCAATTTTGCATTTCATAACTTGTAGCTTATTAATTAGGTGGTTAAAAAGCCTAAAGGCAACCGAGTGGCATTGCAGTGCCAAGCTTTTGTATTAAAGAAGTGAAAACTTTATTAGATCGAACAACCCTGCGCAGTCTTCTTCTCTTGCATAACTTACATCTTTGAACTAAAAATGCATTACTCACATTACATTTTATTGCAGCTTATTAAACAAATATTGTTGTTCTAACTGAAGTGAAGGAATAAGGGTTACATGTGCTATGAAAAGTAAGTGGGATTAGAATTCAGCTACTTAGTTGAGTAGTATGATTATGCTCTTATTGGGTTTCGCCTGAATTGGACTCAAAATCTAAGAATTTCTTCTCCTATGTACTTGACTATCTTTTTCCTTTTTAGGCTACTATGACTTCATCAATCATTTTAGAGTAATAATATCATGATATTCTTTATTGATCTAATGATCATTATGAATTTGAAATCAGCGCTGTTAGATCTATATCAGAATCATAAGTGAAGCTTATTGTTAAACATATTCTTCTCTTATCTTTGAGTTAGGCTATTTATCTCATCTTTGGGTATTTACCTCATCAGGGTGTTTATGGGTATCCAATTGAAATTCAAACACTTTTTTTCTGGGCCTTAAGATGTGCTATGCTCTTGCTAAAGCAAGATGATGAGGGGAAAGAGTTCGTGGAACGAATTGTGAAACGTCTACATGCCTTAAGCTTTCACTTGAGGAGTTATTATTGGATCGACTTGAAGCAGCTTAATGATATATATCGGTATAAAACAGAGGAATACTCGCATACTGCAGTTAACAAGTTTAATGTAATACCCGATTCTCTTCCAGAATGGATTTTTGATTTTATGCCAACTCGTGGGGGTTACTTTATTGGCAATGTTAGTCCTGCAAGAATGGACTTTCGTTGGTTTTGTTTAGGTAATTGTGTTGCAATTCTTTCATCCTTGGCAACCCCTGAACAATCTATGGCAATCATGGATCTCATAGAATCGCGGTGGGAAGAGTTGGTCGGAGAAATGCCACTCAAGGTATGCTATCCAGCCATAGAGAGCCATGAATGGCGAATTACAACTGGATGTGATCCCAAAAACACCAGATGGAGTTATCACAATGGAGGATCTTGGCCAGGTATGCCTTCATTTCTTGATCAGCTTACTCTATAATCTAAAGACTAAAGAAATTATTGAGTAGGACATAGTCACATACTCCATCATGTGGGACCTGCTATGAGGCTGACTTGATCTGTAATTAGGAGGGAACATACTCCTGTCCTACCTAATAATTTCTTCTGTGATCCATATGAAATTCGATAAAGTTTGATTTAATTAATGTTTCATTCTATAAAGTAGAGTTTGTATGAACGAAATGAACGTTTCTTTCACACAAAAAATAAAAACATAAAATTCTAAATGAAGATTGATTTGGATCAATATATTATTAGTGGTGGCTTTGGAGATATGTTTTAACTAGTGCATTGGGTGCAGTTCTTCTATGGCTTCTCACAGCTGCATGTATCAAGACTGGACGCCCCCAAATTGCGAGGAATGCCATTGAACTTGCAGAATCTAGACTGCAGAAAGATAATTGGCCTGAATACTATGATGGGAAACTCGGGCGATACATCGGAAAGCAGGCACGCAAAAATCAAACCTGGTCTATTGCAGGTTATTTAGTAGCAAAAATGATGCTGGAAGACCCCTCCCATGTGGGTATGGTGTCACTTGAGGAAGATAAACAAATGAAGCCTCTTATAAGAAGATCAAATTCTTGGACTTTCTAAGTTAATGATAATTGTCTAGAATTGCCGTCTGCATTTACCTGTTTTAGCTTTATATATGTACGTTAACCTGATGCCTTATCCTTCAGGTTTTGCAGCAGTTAAAGTTCATCATGCCTTCTGCCCATATTCGATCAATTGCTTTGCTAGTTTATTCTTTTTTTCCAAAACAATAAGAGGAAATTTTGTGGGATAATTATTAATTAGATAAAAATCCTAACATTGGGAGAAAATTTCAGGAAATAGGAATTTATGTTTTTTTTACAATTTTACAAAATGCAAAAATAGGGTTAGAAAATGAAAAAATAAAGTAATTTTACACTTGATTTTATTGAAATAAGGGAGGGATTGGTAACTTCATGGAAGAATGAGTTCACATTAACTGATAAAAACTTGCGAAAGAGGAGACAATGAAGAGAATAAGGAAATTTGAAGGGCGTCCATATGGCAATCTACAACAAGTTTCTCATTTCATTGCCAAAGAGATCACGATGATTCAGATCATTTTCACTTCTGGGAAATAGTTCTTAGCAACATGCCACTGCCTGCTGATAAAAGCCAGTTTACATTTCCAAGAAAAGGCATCAATTTTTTATTTTTTAAATATATTAGGAGCAACATTAAATGTTTTGTTTATGGGATTTAGTGCCAATTAAGCTAAGTGCTCTCATTTGACATTTATTATTTATTATATTTTCTCTTTCTTTTCTTTGGTCCATTTTTATCCTCACGCTGTAGAAAAATCAGTCCTAATAATTGTACTAAGGCATTGCATTTGCACCCTATCAAGTCAAGATCATTTAATAAAAATTTAAAATTCATTTTCTTCTCTTTTTCATTATTCTTTATTTATATTGTCAAATTATTTAATCATATATGTTATATTACAATATTGTTTGTTTAGAAATATTCTAAAGATACAATCATCGCCAATTTATAATATAAATGACATTTCTACGTTTGTACGGCTTTGAACATTTTATATTTTTTTTAATTATTCGAAAAACAAATTACAGATTTAAAAATATTTTCCTTCCCATTATTTTCAAAACATAATATGATTGTTATAGAGAACAAGCCTTTTTTAATACAATAATTAAATAAATTAATTTAAGTAAATTTGCTAATATGGGCATTTTTGGTCTTTTTGTGAATTTCTCTTTATATTCCTTTTATTATTTTTATCAACTAAATATATGAATTTAATATGAATTCTTATTCCATTCTAGTGTATGCTAAACACTAAAATATGAATTATATTCCTTATTCCATTTCAGTATATTCCTATCACATTCCTTACTCCTAACTAAATATTACTTGAAATATTATTCTCTCTGTTTCCAAATATTTATCATATTTGAAAAAATATTATGTTGCCAAATACTTTTCACATTTGTACATTTAACAAATAATAAATTATTTTTTCTATTCTTACCCTTTGTATATGACTTATAGTTTGAATGGTTTTCACTCAACTAATAAATTAAGGGTGATGTAGTCAATTCATTTAATAATTTATTGTAATTTAAATAAATTGAATGATTTTTAAAGGATTTTAAATACCCAAATGTGGCAAGTATTTTGGGATGGAGGAAGTAATTTGGATAATCTCTCTGTGACCAATTCATAGCACACTTTCTTTTTTACAAGAATTGAACATTAATTATTATTAAGATTGATTAATATGCATTGGAAATAACTAAACTTAGTAAATAATCACATTTTCAGTGTTCAAAATGATTATTAATAAATAATGACATTAGAAAATAAAAAGTAATTTAACATTAATTATTATTAAGATTGATTAATATGCATTGGAAATAACTAAACTTAGTAAATAATCACATTTTCAGTGTTCAAAATGATTATTAATAAATAATGACATTAGAAAATAAAAAGTAATTTAACATTAATTATTATTAAGATTGATTAATATGCATTGGAAATAACTAAACTTAGTAAATAATCACATTTTCAGTGTTCAAAATGATTATTAATAAATAATGACATTAGAAAATAAAAAGTAATTTTTAACCAGTAATATTAAATACGAGTATAATAAAAATTAAATATATTAACTAACTTATTAAATGGTAAGTTGTAATTTGAGACAAACGAAGAAAAGAAAGGCAATCAGATATGTTCTGATTAGTCTTCTCTCTTATTTAAGGAATGAGATGTCTCGAGTTCGAATCATTCCGACCACAAGTGTTTCTACCAACTTAGTGAATATAGGGAAGAGCTACCCCTATTGTGTAGCCTATGGTATTATTTAAGTTTGTCGAGCCACCTATAAATAGAAAAAACGAAGAAAAGAAACTGTATCTATTAATTAATTAGGGAAAGATGGAACATGATTTAAGGAGGTAGCTATATTTTACACATTTTATGCATTAGGCCATTTGCCTTTCCTATCCTAACACATGAACAGTCAAATCCACCCCCCAACTTGGTACAAACATAATTTATTCACTTTAAGGTTTGATTCAATTAATTTGATTTAATTAATAAATTTATTCTTTTAATATTATTTCAGTCTATTAATCCTCACAATAAATAAAAAATTAATTTAATTAATAAATTTGTTATTTTGTTAGAATTATATATATTTATATTTAATTTGTTGATAAAAAGAATTTTTAAATAATTAATATTCATTTGAAGATATAATAAATTGTTTCACCTTGAATCTTGCATTTCGTTGCAATTTTACTCAAATTTGACGTTTATGCTAATATCATCATGAACTTTGACTTTCTCTTGTAATAGCAATCTAAATTACAATTAGGACTTAAATTGTAAATGAAAAATATATTACTACATGATTCACTCTTAACTTTAAATTTGAGTTAATTTAACACATTTGTGTGACTGAGGAAGCTTGGATCGATGATAAGGAAAATCTCTATTATTATTTTATAATATTTTAAATTATTTCTTTAATTGATAATAAATAATAAATAAAAATGTATTATTTAATACATGGATGTCTTTCTTTAAAAGAGTATAGTACTTCTCAAGCAATAAAATAATTGTTATTATTTAATTTTTAATGTAATTTTTAAGATAGAATATAAGATTATAATTTATAATTATAGAATGAAAAAACTATTTGTTCAAGAAAATAATTAAACTTAACAATTTTATATTAATAAAGAAGCTTGGATTAAGTTAATCCAAAGTTAAGATCCCATATTAATGTGTTTTTTATTTGCAATTTAAATATTAATTGTAATTTAGGGTTATGTTGTAACAAAAAAATTAAAATTCAGGGTCAACTTAACATAAATATCAAAATAGAGTAAAAGACAACACAATATAGAGTTCATGGTGATACAATACATTAAACCTAATTTAAATGAATAATAAAAATCTAAAGTTATAATAAAAAATACAGTTACAATTTCAGCAATATTCGTATTATTTTTTTTTTAAAAAATCGTTTATAAGGTTACTTTTTTTTTTGAAAAAAATTAAGAAATTGCAAAAATAGTTTTAAATTTTATTTAAATTAGAATGCATATGTTGTAAGAAATAAAATTTATTAACTATACAAATAAATACAAAATAATCAAATAAATTATCATTTTATTTTTTCTAAATGTTATTAATTATTATAATTTTTTTTAAATTAGAATAATGTAATTATGGACCAATTAAAAATTTAAAAAGAAAAAAATATTGTTAAACTCCAATTTGTATCAAACATTATAATTTTAGATTAACTATTCTTTTTTTTTTGCCACTTTTCCTTTTTTTTTTTTTAACTTTTTAGGTTAAATATTTTGTGCAATAACAAATTTATTTAGATTTGTAGATGTGTATATAATAGACTAAGGCTCTGTTTACATCCGTAAAATAACTTGCTGAAAAATATTTTTATGGATAACATTTTCTTTAAAAAATTTTTTTCAAATAGTTTATTTTTCGTTGTTTGGTTGTAATATTATTTTTATGGATAACATTTTCTTTTAAAAAATTTTTTTCAAATAGTTTTTATTTTTCGTTGTTGGTTGTATATTAAAATTTTTATCTCATAACCATAACAAAATAATTAATAATAAATAAGAAATTTATAATTGAAAATTTTTATTCTTAAATATGGAAAGAAATAAAAAATATAATTATGAAAGCCGCCGGTGGCTGATGGTGGAAATAACTTGCTGAAAAATATTTTTATGGATAACATTTTCTTTAAAAAATTTTTTTCAAATAGTTTATTTTTCGTTGTTTGGTTGTAATATTAAAATTTTTATCTCATAACCATAACAAATATTAATAATAATAGAAATTTTATAATTGAAAATTTTATTCTTAAATATGGAAAGAATAAAAAAATATAAATTATGAAAGCCGCCGGTGGCTGATGGTGGTAGCAAGTAGTTGTAGCTGGTGAGTAAATGGTGACTGGTGGCAGTGACTATGATGATTAATAAATTAAACAATATAGATTTATAAGATTTGCCAATGTCTGAAAAATGTTGTACTATCTCGAAAATGGAAATTTGTTTTTCTTAAAAAATGACTTAATTTTCTTTTGACCAAGAAAATATTTTTCGTTAACTTATTTTTCTAAATGTCCTAAACAACGGAAAATTGTGAAAATATTTTTCTACAAATTATTTTACGGAAACAAATGAAACCTAAATATTGAAATTTTCAAAATAAAAGTAGAATATTCAGTCCGAACTAGACCTAAACGGCTGATTTCGGGCCGAGTTTAGTTCACTTTTAACATTAATATGAATTTCAACCGTTCCATGAACTGCCCGGTTCTAATTTAAAATTTTAATTTGATGATTTAAATATACAAACACAGTTTGGTTTCGATGTGATTCTTATTTGAACGGAACCAGTGGCCACTGGACAATCAAATCAACTAAACAAACTGATCGAATAGCATACTCTTTTATATATATAAAAATAATGCTAATTTGTTAATTAAAAATTAATTGCGTAAGACTAATTTATCAAAATTTCCTAAATACAAATTAGAAATATGGATAAATAAATAAGCTCTTTTCCCTTCCGGCCTTCTGTTCTTCTCCACATTTGATTAATTAAGAAAAGTCAATCAAACCCTAAAAATTTCCATTATTGATTCTCCATTATTTTCCGTCACTTCTTCTCCGAGAAAAGTCGATCGAATTATACGATGAGGCCGCAGAGGAGGCCAATCCACGTCGTAACGACATGGGTGCGGCGACAACCACCAAAGGTCAAGGCTTTTTTGGCAGTGGTGGCAGGGATGGCGGCTCTTGTGCTACTTCGATTCATCGTACATGACCATGACAATCTCTTCGTGGCTGCTGAGGCTGTCCACTCCATCGGTATCTCTGTTCTTATATATAAGCTTATGAAGGAGAAAACTTGTGCAGGTAAGAGAGAAGGAAACTTTTTAGGGTTTTTTAATTGTAATTGTTGGAATTAGAAGTAAATTTATGACTTCTGTACCAATTTTCTTTTTTTGAATTTGGATTGTTGGTTATGATGTTGATTTTGATTGTTTTATGTTTTTCAGGGTTTCTTTCTTTGTTTATTGTGTTCAATTTGAAAAAAGTTTTTTTTATTTGTTGTAAATATGGATTTTCTTTTCTTCACATGATCGGGGAATTTCTGAAGAGAAGGGAAGTCTTTCTTAAGCCTTGCAACCAATAGGATAGCTATTTCTTTTTAGGAATTTGAACTGTATAGTTCAATTCATCATTCAATGTGCGCATATTGAAGGTTCTAGGAAAGTGGTTTTTTTATCAGGTTGGATTGAAAATTTAATCACACATTGAATATGCAAAAAAATAATTTTGACTTGCTTAATTCATGACTGCCTGATTAATGAGTGAACCCAGTTGTACTGCAAATATTTTCTGTTTATTCCATGTCTTTCTATGTAACAGGATGAAATGCTAGTGTCTCGCCTTTGTTACATGTTCTTGTAACTACCAAACAATTTGTAATGACAGTCCTCGCTTATTGGATCATTAATGTATTGTACAAAAAGAAACAAATGAAACTCCATAGATTTGATAGTTTCCTGCTTGCTAATCATGTCTAGCTTGAAATGGTTTACTTATTTGGGGCCTTTCTGTAACGAAACTGATAGATATGTTGGATTTTCTGATCTCATTAATTGATGTATAAGGTGCTTCAAATTTATCATCTTCTTTATATTTCATTTTCACTGATTTAGTTCCTTTCTGACCCTCCTATGAATTTTTGCAGGGCTATCACTTAAGTCCCAGGAATTGACAGCTATGTTTTTAGCTGTCAGGCTGTATTGTAGCTTTGTGATGGAATATGATATACATACCCTACTTGATTTAGCTACATTGGCTACAACTCTGTGGGTTATTTATATGATCCGTTTTAAATTGAAGTCTAGTTACATGGAAGATAAAGATAACTTTGCGATATATTATGTGGTGAGTATCTGTGTGAAACAGAGTATTAGTGGTAGTCTTTTCAATCCCTTATTTCATGCATGTATATTTTCTCTTCTTGTCAAATATGCACTTGTTATCTGCTTAACTTAAGTCCTTGTTTTTTAATCGGGATGCAGGTGGTGCCCTGTGCTATTCTAGCCTTGTTTATTCATCCATCAACATCTCATAACTTAATCAACAGGATTTTGTGGGCGTTTTGTGTATATCTGGAAGCTGTCTCTGTACTACCTCAGTTGCGAGTTATGCAGAATACAAAGGTTCAATTACATTTCATGAAACATGGATGATATGTGTTTTAAAGGTTTCCAAATTGATACTCATCTTGTTTTTGTACTGTCAGATTGTTGAACCATTTACAGCGCATTATGTATTTGCATTGGGTGTTGCAAGGTTCTTGAGCTGTGCCCATTGGGTTCTCCAGGTTTGTTTCTGCTGAACTGAATATGTTTGAATTATATGATAGAGCTAGCTTTATATTTGGTTTCTAGCGTCCTTAAGATTGTGATTGAGTCTTTATCTAACATTAATTGTTGGATTGCGCCATTCCTGAATTATCCTGAACTAATTATTTGCCATCAAGTTACTTCTATGTTGGTGCTGGAGTCTGCGCAAGATATAAGTGAGTGACACAAGAAAGCTTGGGAAAGCTTGAAGTTTTAGGAGATTAGGGCTGGGGTTTATAGAACTCAGGAATTAGGTCTCTAAAATCAATATGGAGAATCTGCATTTCTTTAGAAATAAAGGAAAATCAAGCAAACAAAAATAAACTAGTAGCATCACACTAATAGGATCTAGGACTCTTTCCTATCAAGAAAAATCGCAATTTCTTTGGAATTGCATCACACAACTCAAAAATAAAAGCATAATCTTCTGCGATTTTATTGATTCAAAACTTAATTAGAAATTGTTAGAAGCATGGGTATTTGTAGACCCAAACTACTCCTAAAAAACCTCTGCTTACTAGCAGTGTTATTAGAGTCGTCAATTCGAATCCAAGTTGATTTTCATGCCCAGCAATAGGAATCTAGTGGGTGAATCGAAATTGAGCATGAAATTCTATTGGAGACTCGCAATGAATCAGTATGTATTGAAACTATTGAAAGAAAGGAAAAAGGAAGACAAGTTGTTAGGATCTTATTGACATGCGAATGACTTGATTTTCCTCAGTTACATCAGCAACTATTTATACTACCGGACTCATATAATTCACTTGACAAATGAGGCCCAATTACAATTCTAATTCACAATTACAACCCAATTCACACATATTGACAATTACAATTGAAATATTTACAATGAAGTCCTAACACAACCATTTCAAGATCTGGGATTGAAATTTATATAAATACATGATTCTGAATTGAATTTTTAAATATCTTCTGATTAATTAATAGGAATTATGTTTATGAATGTATATATGTTGTTTCTAATTGATTCTGAAGAGTTATATCAAATCTTATAATTCAATTCTTGATTATTGATTCAGATAGGATTCTGATTTTTTTTTTTTTTCAATTGAAGAAATTTACAACAATGTCCTAACGCACCCATTTCATGATTTGGGATTGGAATTTCTATAAATACATGTTTTCAAATGAATTTTTAATATCTTCTGATAAAATAAATAGGAGTCATGTTTATGAATCTATATATTATTTTTTAATTGATTTTGAAGTGTAAGATCAAATCTTATGCTTCGATTCTTGATTATCAATTCAGGTAGGATTCTGATTTTTTATTCCAATCCCGATTTGACAACTAGTCTTAATAAGACTTCAAAAATAGTCCTCATCCTTCAAGATTGAACACCGAAAAAAAAAAAAGGAATATCATTATTCTAAACCATCAAGGAGTCTCAAATGACTTAATTTTTTTTTTTTTTAAATATTTGTAAAAAAAATAACGACAGAATTCTAGCAAAGCTGAAATTATGGAAATGCCCCTTAGCTTAGACTTGACTTAAATTTCTTGACCAGCAACTTATTGATTGAAATAGACGTATAAATATAACTCTAAAAAGACTAGAAATATAATATAATATCTAAAATAAATCCTAAATCTAGACCGTAATCTAAAATTCTTGAGCCTTTTACTTCGTATTTTCTTGATTTCCTTGTCTGCACCAAGAAGTTAAACGATATTGTAGTACTGTGGTCTGGTTAGCTGCTTCTATATGGATTGTTGCTTCAAGTTCTGTTGATTCCTGCACTCAGTCAGCCACCATCGTGCTTTGTATGGTGCAAGAAAACTAGAGAACAATTGTATCAAAATCTATAGAAGCTGCATGGTTATGTTGCATTATGATGAGGATTTCATAGCCACTAAAGCGGTCATCGATGAGTTTGCAATGAGCAATTATCTTATTCTGCAACCCATTTGTATTCCTGTGTCGCAACTTGCAAAGTTATCAGCATCGTTGACTTGTAATTGTGTATGTTCACTTTACAAGTATAAAATACCTATTGTAGGACTGATATTGATTGTGGAAACAAGTTGATTAACTTGCATGCTTGCACCATGGCACTTTATATTTATCCAGATATTTATTTTGGTATTTTAATGTGCTCCTATTTAGATTTCTAATATGCAATCATCTGTTTTGTTTTTCATCTGAACAGGTTTTAGATACTCGCGGACACTTGCTGGTGGCCTTGGGATATGGATTATGGCCATCTATGGTTCTCATCTCAGAAATTGTCCAGACTTTCATCTTAGCAGACTTCTGTTATTATTATGTTAAAAGGTATAGTAATTTTTCTGTCTTTTACCTGACAACTAAATACAAGCATAATTTAACTTTTTCAGGAAACTATTGTCATTCTTATTATGGATGTCAATTGTGGGTTTGCAGTGTTTTTGGAGGACAGCTTGTTCTCCGTCTTCCCTCAGGAGTGGTGTGACTGAAGATTCTCTTTTGCTATGGTCCTTAGGCAACGTTGTTGCAAAAGATTAATGTTTCCAAGCTATGTTGCAATTTTTTTTTCCCCTGTACGGGGTTCTCCTTTTAACTTATCACTGGAAGTGGATTGGTTGTAAATTTGGGATGCAAAAATTCAGATCTACATTTATATTTGAGAAACATAATTTTCATAGTTGGATTAACTTATTTTGTCAATTTTGATCCTATACTAAAGTCTATGGACCAGTTCTCTGCCTTGCTTATCTTCTGCTTTTAAATAATCGACATTGATGCTGAACTTGTGTGCATGGTTTGGGATTCTACGCATTTTATCTTTATGGGTTTTAGTTTTTGTGCTGGTTTTTGTTTGTGTTTCTCCTAAACGAAGATGGGGGATGGTTCACCCAGTTTACTTTCTACTGGGCAAAGATGAATTCACTCGCATTGCAATGTTTAGTATGGCAATGGCAGGATTTTATAATATAAAGTGGCTAATTTATGCTATTGCTGCTGCAGTCTTTAGCCGCAGTTTGGAATTGCTATTGCAAGAGGCAGTTTTTGGGTCAAAATCATCGAGTAATTGCGTTGGCATTTCTGAGTTCAAAGCCGCATTTGGGAAAATTTTCAAATATGGGGCTTCTGTCAAAATCAGTTTTGGGCTTATCAAGAATTTCATTGCAAGGGGTTACATTCATTATGCCAACAAGATTATTTTTAATTTTGACCTCAAAATTTACTATTTGCAATAGCAATGCCAGATGGGCCCTTACTGTTGTTACAGTTAAGCTTTGGTTAACTAGTTGTTCACATGAAATACTTGAGATTATTTGAGATGTTTGGTAGTATCTCAATGGCGAATGTACTAATGTAGTAATTTATTTGTTTATTCTATTGGTAGAAGAAAACTCAATTGATTCCAGAAATTTACATAAAAGACTCTTAGCCGCTCTTCTGGTCTGGTTTTTAATAATTTTAGAAGAGCCAGGTTATTCAATAAGACACCGAACAACAGTATACTTAGACACTGAGGTTTCTGGCAAGAACTCCTTCCAAGGTAATTCCAGGCCCAAAAGCAAGAATCAATCCCCATTGACAATCCTCATTTTCCTTGTTAATTTTCAAGCTCTCTTCTATCATATACTCGAGAACATACACAATTGTATTGCTACTAGCATTACCATAATCCATCAAAGCTCGTCTACTAGCATTTAATTTCTCTGGCAACAATTGAAGCCGCTTCTCTATTCTGTTCAATATTGCAGGTCCTCCAGGATGAACTGCCCAGAAAAAATTATTGTACCCTTTATCGCCTACTCCAGCACCTCGCATTAATTTTTGACAGAAACTCTCAATATTATCTTCAATTATATGAGGAAGCTCTCTTGCTAGCTTGAAGCTAATCCCTTCTTCTGTCATCCTGCCATCAATAATCTTTTCTGTATCAGGCAGGAAATTCTGAATTGCTGTATGAAGTTCAAAAAGTGGACTTTCAACATTAGAAACTGGGTCTGTGCCAATTATCATAGCTCCTGCACCATCGCCAAATAATGCAACCCCAACTAAGTCATATGGTCTATCTGCATTTGGTGGCCTAAATCCAATTATAGTAGTTTCAGAAGTAGCCAGCAAAACTCTACTTCCAGGATTGTTTTCAGCTATGTCTTTTGCAACACGGAGACCAGCGACCCCTCCAGAGCAACCCATGAAATACAGCATGACACGCTGCGTTTCAGGGCTGAGTCCTAGACCTCTTGCTAGGTGAAGGTCACCGCCTGGTAGCCTAGCTTCGCTTGAAGAAACATAAACCAAGTGAGTAATATCTGATATAGGCCTGCCCCATTTTTTTATGCAAGTTTCTGAAGCTTCAATTGCCATTTGTGTTACAGCATCATTACAAATATCTAATCGTTGTTTTACAGTAGGGATGCCTTCAATGGCAAGTTCAGGATACTTGTTCAGGATTTCCTCTGACATTACCACATACCTTGTTTTAACAGTTGTAGTCTGACCTGTTAAAAGTCATCATGGAAAAATTATAGTCACTTTCTTTTAGGAAGGTGAATAAGCTAATATATAAATTCAAAATCTTGAACCTTTGTTCTATCATGTCTATATAATGGGAAATTCATAACAAATTCTACAAACAAGTTTTAGTTTGTAATTTGCTCAACTACATAATATAGTTCCTATTCCCCTTAAATTTTTCTGGCTAGTTTCAATAAATATGCATGCATTTTGCCCTTTATTTCTTCCAAGTTCCATATGTACATATGCATGTATTTGTTAGTCATGATGAATGGATTCTAATGAAAAAAATAAATTAGGAGAGAAGAGTTAGCAGTTGTACAGAGTCTAGTTAGTTTCTGCTTCAGGTCTGGATCATAACAATTGGTATTCTTGAAATACCCATCAACTAAAAACTCTTGCATGACAAGCTGATGAGGGAATGCTTTGCCTAAAGCAAGAATTGTAGCTGTGCCAGGTTTAGCCTTTTTTGATAAACCTGTTTGTACAATCTCTTCGCTCCCCATAATTCCTTCTCTTCCCAAAAAAGATGAATGCAAATATATTTGCAGGGTCTATTTGAGATATTAGTATATGAGCTCTCTTTATCTTGCAATGAAGCAAAGACAGGAATGCTCATATACTCGTATATATAATTTGCATGATGAAGATAACACTTAATTAAAGGAAAAAGCGATAAGTGTGGCAGAATTCTTGCATAAAGAAGCAGTAGTTGAGAGGCTAGACTTTCATGCAGCTAATTTTTAAAGATCTTATTGGTAGATGTTTGGTGTTGGATCCATAATAGCTGAACTAGTTATGTTTTACTTTAATATTAGATATGCATTATTGCCAAATCCACATATCCTAACAGAGGCATTGGGTTTGCCAGGGTAACAAGTACCAATTTCACCAAAAATTGATAAAAGCTACCATATTTAGCTGCTCTAGTTGCTTAGTCTTGCATGTGAAATAAGTTTAGACAAGATTGAGTCATTTTGAGCAGTATTAATTAATAGATATTAAAGTTACAGACATCAATGTCTGCTCACAAGCTGCAGCCTCCAAGGCAAAAACTAATTTTGGTTATCTTGTAGATTTCTCCAGACAGATGTCTCAGTCACCCGGAACATGGGAAGAAAAATTAAAAATGCCCTCTATTCATGCTTGAGGTGAGATTACGTATGGATTGATTGTAAGATTCAGGCTTCATTTGATTTGCAGAATAAATCAAGTAGGAATGTAATAGCTATTTCATAGACATAAAACGGTTGTTCTTCGCTTAAACAAGCTTACAACCATTGTACCAGTATCGAAACGAACCCGGTTTGCATTCACAACTTTAGGTTAAAACGATTAAATTTTCAGCACTCATCTTTTAAGCAGCTCAGCTCGTATACCTACTTAAACTAAGAATTCAGGTTTTAACCCTAAAATTATGTTTCTTGAAACAAATCTGATCAATCAACACACCATTCTCACATAAATCTTCAGATTAAATCGTCAATCAAAGCTTGGGTTACTTCAAAGCTCAGAGAGACACTTTCCCTTGATGAAATCAATCGCTTGGGTGACTGCCTGCTCAAGTGCAGCCGTAACTGCAGCCAAATTCTGCAGGAATTCCTCTGCAGTTGGCTTATCACCATCCACTACATCAGTCACCGCTTTTACAAATATTGTGGGGACTTTTAACAGATCAGCAACATAAGCAACTGCCGCTCCCTGGAACACCAAAATTTCAAGGAAAAATAATTAATTATTGCAGAAGCAGGAGAAACATGCATTCAGGAACGGAATGATTATTTGAAGTGACATTTCCATAAATTATATATTTATGCTGCCAAATCAGCACCATGGAAGTGAACCGAACATGATGATGACAACCTATTTTGTACGAAATTCTTCTTGCTGAAAGAACTAGAGAACTAGAGAACTAGAGAATAAAGTAAAGGTTGCATTCCTCCCCATGAATGTGTTTATTATCTGTCTGTACCTGCGCTATGGCCAAAGACATCCTGTTGAATTTCACTTCATGCTTGTATTTTCGAGAAACTCAACTTGAATATGTGAAAGCCATAGGGAGGTATTAAGCATGAGATTCCTGTGCAATGTCACATTATTTTTAAGTTCACCAAAATTTATGATCTGAAAGGATTCTGAACTGGAAGCCATGCATTATACTTAAACACTCCCATGATGTCTTATGATGTCTTATTCAACAGGATAAACCTTATCAATTGCATCCTATCATTTCAGGTTCAGGCTTAAATAAGCATACAGCTAATTAAGGTATTAAAATACAGTAACCATATCCATTGAAGGGCAGGAATGCCATGATCCATTCAGTTCATGTGTTATTACGTAATAATTCAATATACCTCCATGTCTTTAACTACAGCATCATTTGCAGTAATTGTTGCTTCATCCTGTGGAGACATGTCCAGAGAGTCTCCAGTGGACAATTTCCCCACCTGAAACATGCAGATATTACTTAGTAGAAGTACTAGATGCCCTGGGGGCTCTGAAATGAACAAATTTCCAAAATTTCCATATTACACTACATCTTCAGCATAAGCTAAATATAAATGTTTGTTAAATGGAGTGCCTATATCTTCATTAAATTTCAGATAATCCTAGGAAAAAATTATGACTTACCATTGCTATTTGAAGGAGGGATCATATCTACATATAATTAACTTTTTCATGATATATAATTCACTAAGAAGCAACAAGGCTCAACCACTAGGAATTTTCTTAACCAAGGAGGCTGACAAAAGCACTAAGCACAGAAGAACTGCTTGTAATAGATGTCACCCCTCCGTAAATGAGATAAATAAAGTCAAAACTAACAGTAATCATGGTTTCTTTCTGTCTGTGGGAGCTCTTGAATACAAATACACTGTAGGTGGAGAGAAAGAGGGGGGAGGGAGAGGGCATTCTTTTCTTTTCCTTTTCTTTTTTCGTTTTTGTTTGGGGGGGGGGGGAGCATAAAGCTAAATTAAATGTTTTGTTAAATGGGAGTGCCTATATCTCATTAAATTTCAGATATCCTAGGAAAAAAATTATGACTTAACCATTGGCTATTTGAAGGAAGGGATCAATATCTACATATAATTAACTTTTTCCATGATAATATAAATTCCCAACTAAGAAGCAACAAGGCTCAAACGCACTAAGGAAATTTTCTTAAACCAAGGAGGCCCCTGCAAAAGCAACTAAGCACAAGAAGAACTGCTTGTAATAGATGTCACCCCTCCGTAAATGAGAATTAAATAAAGGTCAAAACTACAAGTAAATTCATGGTTTTCTTTCCTGGTCTGTGGGACTGGCTTGAATACAAATACACTGTAGGTGGAGAAAAGAAAGAGGGGGGAGGGAGAGGGCATTCTTTTTTTTCTTTCTTTTTTCGTTTTGTTTTGGGGGGGGGGGGGGGAGGGGGAAGGGGGGGGGGGAGGGGGAAGGGGAAGTGGATTAGTGCTGTGTCTAAATTTGCACCAAACTGCAATCTAACTCAAGAAAACACTTATAGCACTTAGATAAGGGACATTCAATAAGTCTAACTGTGTTCTTGGCATTCAGTATACCTTTAGGTTAAGCTCCTTCAGGAGATTGGGTGTCGAGTAAGCCTTCCGCAAACCAACTCCATACAGATCAAATACCTACAAAAAGCAAAAGAAGCAGAAAAACTGAGGGGAATAGAGCAAAAAACTCCATTACAGACAACAGCGGAAACTTTCTTTCTTTGTAAAGCATCCAGCAGAGCGGATGTTTTTTATCTTAACCACAGCCACATGCATATGTGTTCCTTGTCTTGTTTGAGGTTTACTATGAGAATCATTAGGACCTCCAGTGTTCTCTAACATCTATAGTGAACTAGTTCTAGGTTGCAAACACAAATGTTAAAGTAACCAATCCTTTTTGGTCACATATCATGTTAGAAAAAGAAAAAAAATAAATGAGAAAGCAAGATTTGATTGACAGACTGATAGCCTTCAGACATATGCTTAGGTAATCAGAAGATTCTATAATTTCAAGCTTCCTGCATTATTAGCAGAAGTAAAAATGAAAAACTAAGCAACACTTACGGGGATAGGGATTCTTCTGTCATGGAAAGCAACATCACTTGCTAGGTAAACATCACCAATGGACGCTCCTTTTGCCTGGAAGCATTTATTTAAAAGAAAACGTTTATGTTGGTTCACTTGCACAAATAAACACGCTCGCTGCTTCTATTAAAGAAGGGGAACTCTTAAAAGCTAAAAAATATTATAGCAGCTGAAATACAAAAGATTAATTTGTACATCTACATCACGTTTGCAGTATTGCTAAATCATAAACAATTAAAAAAAAAATAGAAAAAACTCCCACCAAAGTGAAAGAAAGGTCAGTATGAAAAGTGGAAAGTTCTATGAAATGGGGTAACTTGGAGTTCGTGTGGTATCATAAAACAATCTAATGAGCCATTCAAGTAAAAGAACATACTTTAAAGCCACCAGCAGTGCCTGCATTGATGATTAAGTCTGGCTGTAATGCTTGGATAGCAGCATATGTCAAAAGTGATGCAGAGACTGTGCCGACGCTATCCACCCCTGAAAAAACAAATAGTTGAAAGAGTAATTCATGCAGCTGGAGTTCAAATAACATTCATTATTAAGGATATTCTGCTCAGTTCAAGTATTAAAGTAGCATATATAATTTGGATCCCATCCTATAGTCATGTTCAAAACATGTATATACGCATCCAACTACTGGCACTATTTATTTCTTGGTGAAATGTGTGATGAAGATGTAGAGGAATAAATATGAACTTTTCTGACAACTGCAGATATCAGCATAAGACAAAAGAAAGTAAGAGGCATTATTTGCATATTCAAAGATATTATTAACCTTTATTTTCTAGTGTCAAGACTTAAGAGCTGATTCATTATCATAGAAAGCCATCTATGCAATCCCTATCACAGAATGAAAGCTCCAGAATATCTGAAACTATGGAATCAAGGAACATAAATCCTTGCAAGAGCTAACTACTTACCCAGAATTGGGTCTTTTCCAGGCCATACTAAATTGATATTGAGATCATTGTAAACACCATGATACCAGACCCAGGGAACACCTTTTGGAAACCTGCACTATTCCACATTGATTAATCGTTCCTGAGCACAAGGGAATAGAGCATGTGGTACACAGACTGAAGAGAAACACACATCAATTTCACAAATTGAATTACCCAGTAATGCCTATAAAGAATACCTACTTTCACATTCAGTGCAACACAAACAGGCCAAAATACCAACCACATACAATTAGTAAACAATGTGCCAAACAATATCTACATTTCAAATGAAGTTTATGAAGCAAACTTGTCAACTTAACTACCAGTCAAACTTAGATTCGTGTCCTTGCAGAAACAGAGAAAGTTGAAAGAAATAAAATGATTAATACATATGAGAACAAAAAAAAAAAAAAAAATAAAACCAAAAAAAGGAATAAAGAGAAACAACTAGCACACAGATTACTAGGTTTCAGAAAAAGCAAATAAAAAGACTGGACAATTTCAAGCGTCTCATATATTTCTTAATCTCTTAAGCATATTCAGACCGAGATTAATAACTGAAAATAACAATTTCAACACAGAAATCCACCACAAAGAGGTCAATTTAATGCTTGTCCTTTTTCCCCAAAATAAAAAGAAGTACCCCTTAAACTCAAAATTGATTGCTCATATACAGAAACAACTAACCATGAGAATACCAATCAACTCAAAAAAAGAAACATCTACAGCTATAACACAATTCTATCAAAAGTAAAAAAAAAAAAAAGGAAGAAAAAAAAATATTTACGCAGCATGTTGGTCCTCTTCCAGCTGGAATTTGTTCACCACAGGCATTGCTTCCGTTTGCATTGCTGTTGACTCCATAAACAAAAATAATCAGTAAACGGATAAAAATCTATGCATATAGAGAGAGATATCTGTATTCTATATATAAGGAAAGGAAATGGAAAACAGAGAGAGAAGAACAGAAGAGAACCGATGATGAGAAGGATATTGGAAATAGGGCGTTGTTCAGCTTGAACAACTGTGGTATCCCCTGCAGCGTCTGATCCCTCGCCGTGAGGAGCCATAGAAGGCGGTTTCTTTTTCTGCGTCTGAGAAGATTTTTAGTTGAGGCACTAATGGGGGAGTAGTATTTTACTTTCCAGGAAAAAGACCGAGTGAGAAAGAAAATACGAGAAAAGGCCAACGCAACAACAACTCTCTTTTAAATTCTTTTATGCTTATGTTACATTGAAAATCCAATCCAGACCCCCCCTGCTTCAGTGCCTCGTAGCCAATAGGAATAAACGAACCAAAACCGATATCTATATTATTTATATTCATAAAAAGTCATTAATTAACAATTTAATTTCTCTTTCAAAAAAAAAAAAAAAAATTTATTTATTGTTACAAATAAATTTATTTCTTAGCTCCCTTCGTTTCCAAAAATATCATTTCTTTCTTAAAATATATTTTTCAAATAACTCATTTTTCATTATTTGTTTATAATAATAAAAATTATTTCAAAAATATTAAAAATTTTAACTTCTAAGACCATAAAGTATTTATAATTATGTCAATTAGGTATAATTTGTATGATATCAGATTTGAGTCCTTTCAACCACAAGAGTTTTCATCAAATTGGATAAAATAAGAAATTATACTATATAGTATATAAAATATATATTAAATATGGTAATGATATAATATCTTTAAAGATTTTAATTTTATTGCTTGAAAAAATAAAAATAATCTAATTTTGATAGGCTAATTGAAACACCCTGAATTTTTATTTTCGAAACCTTTGCATTTTTTTTATTAAATCAAAAATCGCAAATTTTGGCCGCGTGGGCTGCAATTGTAACATAGTCCCAATTCGAGCCCAAATTTTCGAATTGGGCCTAAGCATAGATAGATATTGCTAACTGAAACACCCTGAATTTTTATTTTCGAAACCTTTGAATTTTTATTAAATCAAAAATTTGAATTTTCGACGGTATGGGCCGTAAATAGTGAACAATTTTAATTTGAGTTCAAGTTTTGCAAATCGGGCCCAAGCCCAAATATAATGTCAAAAAAATTTTGAATCGAGAACAGTTAAATTTTCGACTAATAAAATGAAAGTCCAACAATTAATCTATTATGTATATATATAAATATATATATATAATTGTATTTTCAAAGATTTTCAATTTAAATTTTAATATACCGGACAGCCTGAAATTAATTATTAATATTTTAGTGTGAATACTGTGAGAAATCGAACCCGAAAACCGATTGAAAAAGCAAAACCATTGAAAAACCAAAGGTTTGGGCCGAATCGAACCGGGTTTCGACCCAAACCATCTAGAATTTTCTTTTTCCTCTATTTCTACGCACACCACTCTCCCTTTCCCCCATTTGCGCTTCCGATACACCGGGGACACCAACAGCAACACTGTCACGCATTTTCACCTTCTCCTTCTTCTTCTTCCTTCTTCTTCTTTCTTTCCTTCTTTCTTCCCCTCTTCATCTTTGCGTCTACATTTCTTGGCGAGAAGCAGAGTCGCGCCACCACCTGCTCCATGCCCCAGATCGCGCCATCGCTGCTACACAGCTCCCGCCAATTTTGCTTTCAGCGTGTCTCTAGCTACACTAAGAAGCGAACGCGCTGCCATCTTGTTGCGCCATGCGCTGTTGGCCCACCCACCCCCCTGCTGTCCAGTTACTCGCAGCCACAGTTCTGGTGAGCGTAGCCAAGCCTGTTTTGGTTGGACTCCAACGCCATGCTCTCACCTACCTTAGTTCCAACACGCGTAACTCCCTTTTTCCAGTTGAACAAATTCCGAGGCAAGAATTGGGTATGTAATTAATTTTTGGACTAATTTTAGATGTTTTTCTTAGTCCGTTTGTGATTAGCTAATTTATTTCTTTTGCCATTGATTGTTTTTTCCAGCATCTATATTGCTGAATATTCATAGGCATTCATGGGATTGAGAATAAACATAAAATAAAGGACATAATTTAATCAGGAATTGGATTATAGGTTTAACATTCTTAATCTCTTACTTAGCTAGAGCAAAAGACACTACTTGTTTAGGATTCTTGATTTCTAGGTACGTAAACTTAGGTCTATAAGATTGATTAAAGATAGAAGAAATAGGTAAATTGGACATAAACTACGGTTTGGAGAATTTTACATCTTGATTAAGCTTGTAAAAAAGAAAAAATGTAGGTTGAATTTCTTTATGGAGTTGAGTATAATAGAATGGCGTTTGCAAATTTTACAGCTAACCTGGCTAGTTGAATAAATTCTTGTCATAATTAGTTAAGAAATGGTATGGTATAACAAATTGGAAAGAGGAATAGAGAAGTTAATAACAAAAATAGGGACTTGATGGTGAATTTAAATTCTCTCTACATAATTGATGTACTACTTGTTTTTATGGGATTCTCATTAGTAGGATTTGCGAAGAGATTAAGTATCTTTTGTTGGAAAATGGTTAAGTTGATAAATATGTATATTGTGATATTGTGAGTGGGAGCTAGAATACGTCACAATTTGTCTAATAGGGGCCGAGGAAAGCGATGTGACGTTTGGATGATGTTATCTAGTCAGTCTGAGAATTTAGAAAATAGCCCTGGTAGTCGTCCGGGATCTAAAGAAAACAGTGCCGGTTATGAGTAGAGTATGAAGTCGTCTTAGGGTAGGCGCTTGTCTAGTATGCTAACTGTAGAGCATCATAGCGAAATTTGAGTAGAAATTAAGAATATTAAATTTTAATTAAAATAATATTAATAAGTTTATTTAGATTAGTTTATAATGTTTGGTACCTTAATATAGTGTCTTGGTTGTTTATAAACTTTATTCATGTCATTTAACTATTTAAATATCATTTATTATTTTACATTATTATGTTAATATTGTTTATTTATTATAATTAATGTTGTTTAATTGCTATACTATTTATTTATTTATTTAAGTTGCATGATTATTGGATGTTTATGGTTGCAATTGCAATCACGCTGTCCTAATGAATAATATGTCTGCATTTGATTGCAATGTTTGATTTTATTGGTTGTGAATTGCGTGCTTTGCTTGTGTGGAATTGGGATGAAGTGGGTCACCATGGGTTTGTGAGGACGGTCCGATAAGATGGATCCTGATTATGATGATTTGTAAACTGACCGTCGCCGGGTAAATGGGAGATCGGCGCCCCCGTGTTGCACCTAACTGTTCCCCGTTTTTTTTTTTTTTACGGTTAACCACAGCTTGGCTTCTTTATTTGGCGCACCGGATAATAAGGTAGGTTTGTCAGCAGCCCGCAGGGTCTCTCCGTGTTGTGAGCGCCTGATTGATCTGATTTGATTGGAACAGTAGACGGGTTGCCTCCTGTTGGTATGGGGAAAAGAGAGAATGAAAAACAATGAGAGGCGCTGGTCAAGTGAGGATTAGGACCGGTCGGCCAGTATGGGGATCGGCTCCACTGGTGGCACCACGTTATTGAGAGGCATGTGGCCCATGTGAGGACGGCTTCATCGGGGTTTCGGTGACGCCACAGACCAATTCCACGTGATGGTGATTATTGGAAGTGATAGTTGTTTGTGATGCTGGTGGACCATGCCATTTTGGTGTGACTCGGCTGCGTGAGCATATAACTAGTCGATGACTAATTGATATGTTAACACATTTGTGTGACTGTATGTGTTGTGCAATAATTATCATTTTAGGAAAAACTCACATGTCTTGTTTAATTTTTTCAGGAAGTAAGTTCCTCTTTAGTTCGAATTAGGTTACGTTTCTTTGACGCAAGGCATCAAAGAAATTTTCCTTAATTCCATAATTATTTCAGTATGTAACTGTATGTATAAAAGGCTATGTATATCAAATAGTTAGTGACTCCGCAGTTGTAGAATTTACTTACCTTTAGTCGTGTATTATCGTAGACGAAATGATGCTTTGAGCCTATATTAGAAATGAGATGAAATAAAATCTTGAGGCTTATTTTTTTAATATGGGCTGAATATTCGAAATTTATATTAAGATAGCAAATTTTAGGGTTTCAGGCTTACTACGGGCCTCGGGGGCCTTAAGCTTACCTGGGCCCTAGTGTCGGTCCGGCCCGTGGAATCGGGTCGTGACATGTATTTTAATCAAAATTTATTTAACCTTGGCATTCCTAGAACAAAATTAAAATTTTCTTCAAGACAAATTTTTTTATGCTTACATTTAGAAAGAAATGATTTAGACATTCTTTGTTAAAAACTTCATGTTTAGCCTATACAACCTAAGTTAAAGTATGACCCTTGCAACTAATTTGAAGCCTATATCAAATTTTTATTTTTCACCCATATTTAAACCTAGCCATTAAACCAAATTAATTTTCTATCCTAAGTGCAATAATGTGAAATTGAAGGATTTGATTTTTATTAAAACAATAAAACTCACTAGAAATATTTATAAAATATAAATTATGATATAATATGTTATATTAGCAAACTATATAACATGATGAAAGAATTTTTTTTCCTCAAAAAGCAATTGTAATATTAATTATATGCTCATAAATTTTAAAAAAAAAGAAAGTATCAAAATTATAAACTATAGTAGCTATCTATCTATAATATATATTGTTCTATAATGTAAATTTAAAACATAATAAGTCAAGTCAAGCAAATCGAGAAAATTCTCTTAATGTTTCACTTTATTTTGTTTATTTAATATATTTATATTTTCAATGTTTATTTACTCTATTACTTTACACTTATAAATAACTTATTTTGAAAATTAATTCTTTTTTGATTGATTTATGTTGTTATTTCCTCAATTAGTGTGAACCTCAATGAAAAAATGATAAGAAAATAAATTTCTCATTATGCATATTGCATTAATGACGGACTTATTCTTCATAATTGGGAATTCGTTGGTATAAAATTACATATTTTAGGAATAAGTAATTCATCAAATTAAATTAAAAAAATTTAGAAAATTTTATGTTGTCGATTTAATTTTGTCTTTGAAATAAATGAATTTGTTTCCCAAACTTGTTTAGGATATATAAGTTATACAAAATTAATATTTTAATTATTTTTTACCCCCCAGTTTATACTAGATAAACAAAATAATACTCAAATTTTTTGGTGAATAAAAATAAAAATAACCTCTTTAATCTTTTTAACCGATAAAAACAATTTGATTTAAAAATTATAAAAGAAGAATTATTTCTTCAAGTTCATGAATATAATTTCTCAATGAATCAAAGTGAAAACGAAGCAACTCAGTTGCAG